TGAAGGAGGGCGCAGCTCACAGTGGCCCATGCGGGAGTGGGACCTGGGAGAAGGGGCCCCTCCGGCCACCCCACCGAGTTCTTCATAGCTCTCCCAACACTCATTCTGTTTGGAGCTGTAAGGACTCTGCCTCTCCCTCATGAGACATTCAGCAGATTTGAACACATGGCTCTGTAAACCAGAATCCCCTCAGTTACCCAGATGCCCACTCCATGGAGAATTGGTGCTTCTAGGAGTTTGCTCCTGACTCTCAGAAGCATCTCTTTCGACTCCCGGAGAGCGTCCTGGTGAAAGAACACAGTCCTCCTCCATCTTGTTGCATTCCAGCGGTCTTGCTCTAGGAAGCGGCTATTGATCTAATTTTTATTTAACTCTATAAGTATGTTAGCATTTGCTGCATGCCAAGCACTGCTTTAAGTGCCACACCTGGGTTGACTGAGTCTTCACAACTGGTGAAGTAGGTACTATCACTGTCCCCCTGTTATGGATGAGGAAACTGAGACATGACAGGTGAAGTGGCTTGTCCGCTAAGCACAGGTGTGACCAAGTCCATGGCCCTGGCCATAATCTGCTGCTAGGGCTTTAGGTGAAATACTGTTGGGGAGAACGCTTAGCTCAGGGTTGAGCATAGCGAGTGCTCTAGGAGTGGCACTTAAGGTGACAGTGTCATTAATCATAATTGATGGCTCTGGCTAAGTAAGATACAGCTGCTTGGCTTATCTCTGCCTGTCCTTTGCCCATGTCTAGCGCCAACCATTGTCGCAAGGCCTTGATGAGGTCGTTAGGGTGGGTTTTCAGGTGCCAAAATGGGATCTAATCGGGGTGCTCGTTAAAGGGTCATAGAGCACTCATTAGCGCAGCACGGGGACAGGGGTGCCTGGGTGGGGTAGAGGGAAAGGGGCCACCAGTGTTGGGTGTGTGATCGGATATTCCATTTCCCACATCACCTGGTGTCTCAGGAAAAGCCTTCGTCCTGGAGGCGGATGTGGGTACTAGGTGAGGTCCCCTGTCCAAGGTCACACAGCTGG